GGGCCGGGAGGCCGAGTGCGGGTCTCGGTCCGGTCGCTGACTCCCTGTGGCTGCCTGGGAGGGACGTGGTGTCCTCTTCCGTCAAAAGTGGGGAGCGCAGACCCCCGAGCTCCCTCCAGGTCTCCCGCGTCCCCAGGGCCCGTGGGGTCTGGTGCAGTGGTCGCTTCCGGGGACCCCCAGACGTGCCCCCACCTGCAGGCCTGGGTCGCGGCTCTGGGTTCGTGGTGGAGCCGGAGGGCTGCGACCAGCCAGGCCGACCGCGGGGTCCTGGTGCCTAATTTCCTGGGGATCGGGTCCCCGCCTTTTTTTTTTTTTTTCTTAGCAAACTTTCCTCCTCGGGATCCCGAGTTTCTCTTGGGGAGGTTTCTTTTCGCTTTCGGAAGATTCTGACATTGAGCCAACCAAAATATTCGAGTTAATTTCTGGCCAAAACGGATGGGTGTCTGTGGCTCCCGTGGGCCCAGCGTCCACCGCGAACCTGAGCGGGTCTGGCCCCGTGGCTGCCGGCCATCCCCCCCTCAACGTGAGAAACAAGAAACATGCTCGGAAGGTTTAATTGCGCGATTTCAACATCGCGCAGCCGGTCGCCGGAGTCAGGTCCCTGCTTGCCGCTGAGGTCATTGGCGCGGGGAGTGGGGGCTGGGGCCGAGCGCGTAGTTGGGCTAAAGCACTTGGTTGCAAATGAGAATCCCTGGGGATTTTAGACCAAAGCAAATGCAGATAAAACCCGAAGCCTGCCTCCCACCCCCAGACAGGCCGGCTTCCTCCGTCTGTCCGGGGTGAGACGGGCGGCGGGGGTTGCTCGGAGCTCCTCAGGTGGTTCTGCCCGGCTGCCAGGTGCGGGGATCCGCTGCCAGGTGCGGGCAATCGTTGGCACAGAGGAGAGGATTGGTACAGACTCCGGAAAGATTAGCTGGCGACGGAAAGGGCTCTTTGGGAACATCTGGAGTTTAAAGCCTCTTGCAAAATGTGGGAACAGGAGCTGGGGGTGATTTCCATAACCGTGGGCTCCTCTGCTCACTGAGAGCTGTGCTCCTGCGAGAGGGATGGTTGTCTACTCCCTGCTGGGATGCGCCCCCCCCAGCCCCCGCAGGGTCTGGTCCTTCCAGGTCCTGAATCCCCAGCCACAGGGGCTGGGAGGGGGTGCGCCTCCCAGTCTGCTGCCCGGACTCTGTCCTGAGTGACATTAAACTCTCGGGCACCTTAACTCACCCCTTTTCTCCAGAAACACCCCCAGCTCCTCCTGTTATCCCTTCGAACACGACGATTAGTGCAGGGAGATTTGTTTTGGAAAAAAAAATATAAATACCACTTAATTTGCCTGTTAGTTCTGTATTCGCTTAAAACAGGATGCTCCTGGAAAAAAACAAAAAACCAGCAGCGGGAGTAGGCGGGCCAGCGTCGTTCAGTTAGAGTCACAGAAAAAGACCAACGTTTCAGGGGCAAAGTCTAAAAAATACAAGCTGTGGCTTTTGACAGAGAGTGGTAAAGACCCATGTCAAACAAGTGCGGCCAGTTTGTTCAAGAAATGTCCTTGTTTTAGAGAAAAGGCTGGCCTCGTTCTGAGAGGTGGACTCGCCTGTCCTCTCGGTCCTTTTAACCCTTGCATCAGGCACAGGAAGCGGTGCTCTCGTGATGTCTGGGGAAACGGGGGTCGGAGAAGTAAAGTGAGTTCCCGGCAGCTGGGAAGAGGCGGAACCAGGGTTCACACTTAGGCCTTCTTGCCCCAGAGCCCTCCCTCAGTCACCTCCTGCCTCTGCCTCGCCACCTGTGAGTTCTGGCCTTAGGAGAGCACCGAATGCCAGGGAGGGACAGGACCGGGGACTGGGGTCCTCAGGGTGGTCCCTGGGGAGGACTACCGGGTGCCCGGTCCCTGGTCTAGACTCCTGCTCACAGTCACTCTGCGGTTGGCCAGCCGCCTGTCCCGGAGGCATCTCAGTCGCCCAGTCAGCACCAATCTGGGCCTGGCTCCATCCCTCGGGCGATCTGTGGAGATCCATCGATTGCTGAGCAAGCCCCTGGCTCTTGCAGAACGCCTAGGTGAAGACTGGGCGGTATTCCGAGAAGGCAGGCATTTGCAGCCCCGCCTCCGAACACATTCCTGACTTTTGACCGTCTTCGTATGTTTCTGGCTTCAGATATTTAGTGTCGGAGTTGCGCTGTGTCACATACTCTGCGGAGCTCCATCTCGCTCCCTTCCTAAGGGCCCTGCCAGCACTTGACGCGTTCGGAAATGTTTGTGGAGGCCGTGTCAGCAACGATGAAGGGTCCCGCCCTGTTTAGAGAGAAAATACTCTCTTGTTTTTGCTTTGATCTCGGCTCTGGGACCCGCAGATAGTGTCTGGAGGTTAGCGACAGGAGTGGCAGCCGGCGCTCCTCTTACCTGGGTGATTGTGGGTGTTGAAGGGAAGCACCCCACACGGGGACCCCGGCCCTGGAATGGGCAGTGGGGTCAGAGGGTCGGGGACACTCAGCCGGTTGAAGGCCCCGCCGGGGGGAATCGCGTGGCCTTCGTGCGCCCCGTGGCTTGCCATGAAGGTCGTGTTTGCGGCTCTGTTTGAATTGAGACCTAGCACAGCAGACATGGGCTTCCTCGGAGTGAGGCTTACTCACAGGCGCCAGCTCTGAGAAAAGTTTACGGTTCTAGAACATGGCTGCCCCGTGCCCTGTTTCCATGTCAATACGAGAAAACTGGGCGGGGCCGCTCAGATCGCGGCAGAACGCTTTTGGTTTTGTCTCCTTCTGTCCTTTCCTTGAATTGAGACCTAGCACAGCAGACATGGGCTTCCTCAGAGTGAGGCTTACTCACAGGCGCCCGCTCTGAGAAAAGGTACGGTTATGAGAAAACTGGGCGGGGCCGCTCAGATCGCCGCAGAATGCTTTTGGTTTTGTCTCCTTTTGTCCTTTGTGGACATTCGAAGTTGTGATGAGAAGCAGCTTTGGTCTCGGTGCATTTTGACTGGTTTATTCTTGAACGGTGAACACACGCGGGGGGCCTTTCCCATGTGACATCGCGCCTGCGCACACCTTCTTTCTCGCTTTCCCCCCAAAAGGTTGCCCTTTCTCAGAAAATCGCAGCAGTTGGCTCTTTGCACAACAGTTGCGGGGGGGTCTGCCCTCTGGCCCCAGGTGTAGGCAGGTCAGTTGGGATTCGGGCCAGGATCCAGGCGTCACCCCCTCATGTCAGATAACCAGTTTGACTGAAGTTCTCGCTTCGTCGGAACCATTAAGTCCAATGTTCTTCCTACGCATTTAGGTAGACACACTCCATTCAGGTGTCCAGAAAGTTCCCCGAGCCGCCAGGAGCAGGAGAGGTTCGGGGGGCCGGGGGCCGGGAGCTGTGCCCCAGGCCTGCTGGAGGCGGAGGGCTGGGGTGGACACGCGGTCTGGGAGGCTCCAAGGTGGAATATCAGCCGGCTGGCTGTTACTGCCGAGGCCTCTGTGCACTGCGTGTGTTTAAAACCCACTGCCCTCCTGCCGGTGCCAGCAGCGCGCTCAGAGGGCGTGTGTGCGGCGAGCAGGGAGGGGAGGGCTTCCCTCTGGGTTCCGCACTGCGTCCTGTCCTGGCGGGCTCTCCCAGGAAGCCCCACAGCCCAAGCGTCCTTTCCGACGACGACATCTGGAACGTCTCATGAGCGAGACCTTGAATTGCAGTTTCGGGGCCTGGCGGTTGGAGGGGAAGGCCTTGTCCACAGCCCGAAATGCTCCCGCCACGCACCCGGCTTCTCCTGCGCCTGCACATGGCCCTGAGCTGGGGTAAACAGTTACGTAAGTGGACCGCGGCTGTTTGTCCTTCAGCGTGAGGACACGCATCGCTACCTATGATGGCTCGGGTTTTGTTTGCATTCTTTTCCTCATGTTCGAACCACAGGGAGCGACTTGGGCTGTTCCGTGCACGGTCTGAGCTGCGGGTGAGTCACACGGGGGGACTTGCTCTCAAGTGTCCGGCAATCAGTTAGGGGAAGAGAGAGCTGCAGGTAGCGAGCCTGAGACCCTGGCAGAAGCAGCGGCAGGTCCGACGGCACTGGGCAGCCTTCTGGGATGAGCCTTTGCTTTATTTTATTTTATTTTATTTTTATTTTTGTTAATCCTCACCTGAGGATATTTTTCCCATTTTTTTTTTTTTAGGGAGGGGATGAGAGAGAGAGGGGGGGGGGGAGAGAAACATTGATGTGAGAGAGACACACCGATTGCCTCCCAAATGCTCCCCAGCTGGGGCTGGGGATCGGACCTGCAACCCAAGTACATGGCTTGACCAGGAACCGAAGCCAGGCCCTTCGGTCTGTAGGCTGAGCCTCCAACCGCACCAGCCAGGGCTGTTCTTTGCTTTTAGCTCCGCCCGGACCGGGGCAGGTGGAGCCCGCAGGGGAGGGTCTCTCACTGGGGCCTGCAGAGCTCTGGGTGTTTGCCGGCGAAGGCGACACGAAGGCCATTCCCAGAGCCGCGCCAGGAGCAGCCAGCGCTGCCGAGGCCCGGAGCTCGGTGCCGTGACAGGAGAGACAGACCGGCCTGGTGGTGAGGCTGCAGTTCCCGGAGCTCCGCCGTCCCGGTGTGAGACGGGGTGGCCGCAGGGCTCTGAGCCAGGAACTGGGATGAGATGTGGGGAGGGGGTGTGGGGCGACATGGAGACAGGGAGGGCAGTGCGGGCGCGCAGAGCAGAGATGGAGATGCAGGAGCGATGGGAGTGCGGAAGGAGCCGCTCGCTCAGGCCAGTGGGGGGGTGACCTGTTGGGTAAGCGTGTGTAACGAGTGAGAGATGCAGAGCCAGGGGGCACACAGGCTTCTGGCGGGAAGCCTGGGTAGACTGAGTCCACCTGGGGGCTGTGCATTCTTAGGACAACCCGAGTCACTGGGCGGATTCGAGGGGCTCAGATGGGAAGGTCCAGGGGGCGCTAGCGGGAGGGTCTGGAGCCCAGGAGAGCATGGCCTTGAACTATTATTGCTCACTGGAGAGTCCCCTTGCAGATATTGCCTTTGGCTGTGGTGCAACCCGCCCCCAGCCTGTCACACGCCCTGTCATCACCCCGATGGGATGGAGCGAGGCTGGGTTCTGGGCAGCTGTGGCCAGCAGCCCGCTCATGGCGGTGATCGGCAGCTGATCAATAATCAATAGCGCCTGTCAGTGCACTGCGGACCGTGTGTGTCCACGGCTGCCAGTCGTCATCTGAGACGCGCCCGAGTCCACGGTTTAGATGTCAGTGACTGAGTGGAAAAGACTGGGGGGCATTTTCTTCTCCCCAAGCAGGAGCTCTCGGACCTCAAATGTCCCTTCGGACCACCCGAGGTGCTTCCAAGAGAGGGTGCCTCACTGCACCCAGGCCCTGTGGTCCTTCCTGACGAGTCCGCGGCGACTCCGATGGGTGGTGCGCGGCGCGTGCAGCTGTGGCAGAGAAGAACTGGTCTTTGTTCCCGACTCCCCTGGGGGGTCTGCCTCGGCACTTCCTCGCGGACCAGGGGCCGTGTGGATCTCACGGTACCTCAGCCTCGAAGCTGCTCTATTTCCACGAATTCATCCATCAGAAGTCTCCTCCGGCAGCTCACAGTGTCTCCCAGGACAGGAGCAGGAGCACCTTGAACCTGATAATAGAAGAGGGCACGTGCTTGGAGCCCCAGCCTGGGCTCTGAGAGGCCTACGGGGGTGGGACCCACAGTCTGGGACGCGGGGGCAGCCAGGGCCGGAGGAGCAGGGACGCTCTCCGTGCCGACCTCCTACTGGGCCCTGGGTTTACCCTAAAAGAACAAGGTTCCCAAAGGACCCCCTCCTGGAGGAGCTGAGCTCACTGGGGTGCGATGGCTTATCCCAGGTGTGTTCTGGGGGCTCCGCGGGAGCCAGCGGGGGGCTGGTTCCATCTCCTGGGGGGCAGCTTCTCCGAAGGAGGACCGTCCGATGGACCACAAACAAGGAACGAAGGAGAAGAGACCTGTGGGCCGGGGCCAGCCCCCAGAATTCCCTGCTTTATTTCTCTAAACGGCCCGAGGAAACTGACCTCATCCGAAGGAAAATGTCCGCCAGGTGACACGCTTTACGTTTAAAAATCAAAATGGTCATTTGGCTTCTTTGTGTGTGTTTTTAAAGTAACAGCCAATTGTAAAGAATAGAACAAGAGCCTGGATTACAGTTGACAGTTTTAACATTTCTCCCCAATCCTGTGATTTGTCCCTAAAACTTGTTATGAATAAGCAAACACCGACCTCACACCCTCCGTGGGACGCCTACCACCGAGGGCCCAGAGAAAGGAGGCGAACGCCGGCGTGATCCCCGGCTCAGTCATCGGCGTTGAGTCACGCGAACTCGGAAAATGCTTTTCCGGAGGATTGGGCCCCAGTCGCTTGTGAGCTCGAAGATCCTCACTTCCTGAGTCACCGTTGGGAGGCGCGGAGCCCCGCCTGTGTGGGTGCAGAGAGCACCTGGACGCAAACAGGTAGATTCCTGCCAAAGGACAGCGTGTGGCGGGGCTGTGAGCTCCCAGGCGCGGTCGGCCGCACGGAAGTAGAGAGCCCCTAGACCTCTGTGCTCTGAGCACTTGTTTGCAGAGCGTTCACGAAGGGTTTCGTTCCAAAGGCAGAAATGCGATACCTGCAGGTTTTCCTGCCCGTGCGGGACTTCACCTGCTTCGGCGGCTGGGTTTCCTCCTGCATGACGTCACTGGGGCCACTCGCTCAAGCTCCTTTCTCTCGCTCCAGGGTCTAGGGCCAGGGGTGGGCAAACTTTTTGACTCGAGGGCCACAATGGGTTCTTAAACTGGACCGGAGGGCCGGAACAAAAGCATGGATGGAGTGTTTGTGTGAACTAATATAAATTCAAAGTAAACATCATTACATAAAAGGGTACGGTTTTTTTTTTTTTAGTTTTATTCATTTCAAACGGGCTGGATCCGGCCCGAGGGCCGTAGTTTGCCCACGGCTGCTCTAGGGCACTGCTTCCCAGCCTCCTTTTGGCCACGCCCCCCAGCATCTCTAAAATCCTGATCCCCCACCCGTGACATAGAATTCTTATTATTCAAACAGCGAGCTCCTGTTCACATGGAGGAAGCCTAAAAGGCCATTCACTTGGTCTAAACAAGCTTCCAAAGAACATGGCATCCATGAAAGAGGAAAATAAAAGAAGGAAAGGACAGGTCCATCACTGAGGACTTGTTTAAAAAATAATACGAAGTGATAGGAAAAAATAGCAAATAAAGTTTCAAAACATCATAGAGAACTGAAACGCATAAATATGCCGCAGCATATATTTACATATTGTCCATGAGGCCCCTAGAACCATAAGGAATGCAGAAATTTCCCTGTGAATAACTCACTCGAATTGCCCCCCTTAAAAGTCCAATTGCCCCCTGTGGGCGTGCCCCGCGCTGGGACCCACTGCTCTGGGGGAAGCCGATGTGCTGCAGAGTCTCTCCCAGGTGACAGCTGGCATTTGCATGTGCAAACCGCGTGTTTTCCTAAACGCATCCGTGTTGTGGCGTCTGGGACGGAAACCAGTCACTTACCGAATCTGTGCAGGGCCTTGGGGACGGCAAGGTGCCCGGGAAATTCCCATCGTGAACGGGATCTGAGCAGGTTCTCCAGGGAGATTTGTTTTCCGGGTCAGAAACCTGGTGCTGCTCACCCCTCAGCAGCACTGACTCTGGAAGCTGCAGGGTTCAGGGCCCCCTGTCAGTGTCGCCCCGTCCGTCCGTCATGACACTTCATAACCCACCGCAGCTGCTGCAGCGTCCCGAGCGAGACCCACCGTCAGGCAAACTCTCTCAAGTTTGCTCCGGTGCTAATTTGCAAAACCCGTTTTCTTTTTCACTCCGTGCATTTGAGTAGAGTTAGACAAGGAAACCACTGTCCTCTCTTTCGCTTTTGATTGAGGCCAGATGAGCCACAGCCACACGCACGGTGGCTGTTGAAGAAGCGTCCTGGCACCTGCTGGCGTACGGTGCTGACTTCAGGGGCTTTGAAATGCGTCGAATGAGAACTTGCCCTTGGCTGGGCTTTGCTGCCAAGTTAATGGATAACCCGAGACTTTCTAGTTACCTCTTCGTGTCTTTACGTCGGCTGCCACTTCCTGGGACTTGAATGGACGTTGTGCATGGAACCATTTATGAGTGAGAATAATGTAGGGCCTCAGTCTACCCTCCCTCCCCTCCCTCCCACCCTCCTTCCCTTCCCTGGGATTTTTTCTAATACAAACATGCATGTGCATGTCTCATACCTTGCAAAGTGCCGCTGCTAAAGGTATTTTCCTAGGACACGGCTGAATGGAGTTTCCCCTGTATGAGTGGTCGGTTACGATAGGAGATGACCTGCCTTCTGGGTTTACTAGTAGCTTCCAGAGGATAAACTAGACGGTGCCAAGGCCCCTGGTATCTGGACGGTCCTTGGCATTGAGGGCGAACACAAACGCAGGCGAGACACGAACTTGAACACGGTGGAGGGAGGCGCCTGCCGCTCCGTGCAGAGCGCTCTCCCCAGAGCTCTGTCTCCTTGGGTTTTTCTGGCTGTGAAGTGGAATGTGTGCGTCATTTATGAAAAATGCGGGAAATGTCCCCGCATTCTTGACTCAGAGAAGGAAAGGTGATACTTCCTCGGCAGGACGCAGGGCCGGGGGCTCGCCGAGCCGGGGGTCAGAAAGCCACCTGTGCGGCTGCGGAGGTCCCAGTCCTCATGTCTCCTCCGCCGTCCTTTCTCCCCTTGTGCCTGGGCCCCTTCAGCAGGCGGGTGTCGCCCAACACCCAGGAACCAGGAGGTCACGGTTCGATTCCTGGTCGGGGCACAGGCCAGGTTGCGGGCTCCGTTCCCTATGGGGGGAGCGGTGCAGGAGGCAGCCCATTGATGATGTTTCTCTCTCATTGATGTTTCTACCCCTCTCCCTCTCTCTCTAAAAAAAAAAATCACTAAGAGAGAAGAGGATTGATGTGTCATCCCT